AGAGGTACGGGTGTCAATTTGTGATAGGATACATTAATTCGACACAAATTGAACATAAAATTAATGAATTAGATACAAAATTTAAGTTGGTCAATGGGTTAAAATGGATCAACACGTTTAAACACACAAAAAATCATGTCGGTTTCATGTCAAAATCAAGTTGGCCTGTTTAACCCGTATATTTTAAACAAGTTGATATGATTCGGACACGAACCTGACCTAACTCATTGTAGACTCGTTTAACCCGTTTATGATAGTATAATTTGTTTATTATACATGACTGATGTGATTTTAATATTATTATTTATTAGTTATTATTTCTACTATAGTAATTGACAATATAGTTCTTAACATTATTTAACATTATAATAGTATAGTTCTTGCTTTAATTTTTGAGTTGAAACTTGAATACATTTTAGTTAATTTCATAAATAAGATGTGATATATTATTGGTAAAAAAATTATTTAAAATTTTGAATGAATGATTGAATAGTATATTTAATAGTAACGAGTATGAAAACATGTTTTGTGTGTTAATTCGAAAACAACATGTTTATTAAATATTATAAAATAGGTCGGGTTTGAGTAATCCGTTTAATAGTCAGGTCAAATTAATATTTATCCATCTCGACATAATTATTAAACATGTCAGGTTCGTGTTTTAAGATTTTTGATAAACTTGAAATTAACCCAATACAAAATAACTCAACCCGACACTTGACACCCCTAATTTGAGGTGAATTTGAAGAGTAGGAGAAAAATTGTAAACAGATTTCCTTAACAATGTTAGGAGGAAAGGTGCACGCAACTTCCACTGCAACAATTTCATGGGTTATTTTTTGTAATTGGGTCGAATGTTGGGGGTGAAATTCAAATCAATATAGTAATACTGAAAAAATCAGAGTCTCATAAGCTACGTAATAGTTATGGCATTACGAAAGCGAGGTGTTAGAACTAGAATATTTTTTTTCTTTTATTTATTTTCACTTTTTTTTATTCAATGGTTAAAGGTGTTCGGACTAATTTACACGTTTTTTGACTAATTTTCTTTTTAGTCTAGTCAAAAACAGATCATTCACGTCGAGATTAAAGAATTTATAAGGATAAATTCCTCAAAGTTTGGCCCCAATGGATTACCAAATTTTGAATTTAAAATGTCTTAATTTACAACTCGTTTCTATTACCGTTGAAGTATTTAAGTTACTTTTTAAGGTTATTTTTTCCTACTTGAAACCATTCCAAAATTTCACTACTTTTGGTGTTGATTGTATACAATTGCGGTCATTGTCGGGTTGACTTCAATTCCTTGTGTTTGTTACAATTTTGGCGAGGTGGAATTCATATAGGAATGGTGAAATCCAACATTAATACACCCAATAGCATTAAATTTTGTTTTCAGGTATAAATTTAGTCCAGGTAACAGCAGTTCACTCTAGGCATTGATATATGAAGAGTGTTTGCCCTAAGAAGAGGATATTACCATAGTGATACTCCCAGCTACAAGGGAGAAACGAAAGAAGACTATACCTGACCAGTGATCGACGTAAACTCGTAAACTACCGAGGATAGAGATAATCGTACATGCCTTATTGTGAAAGAAAAAATTTGTCCCGTCACAAGTTGCTTCTTTTATTGTCATCAGAAAGTTCTTTACGAGGAGACCTTAGGACAAGTTACTAAAACAAACGGAAGGGAAAGATTGACCGTTCACTATAATTTTAAAGAAAAACTGTTGACAGCAGGTGGAGATATTTCTTTGATCCCTTAAGGCTGCGTCTCAAGTTGACCAAATTCGAGCCAAATTTTGACACGAGTTGTATGATCCTAGAATTTAATCCCAAATTCTAATTTTGGCAAGAAATTGAAACCGAATATGATTCTAAATTGTGTAATGCCGATTAAACTCTAATTCAAAAATCTAAATAGAGACAATATCCATGTTAAAGATCGAGCTCAAAGTGAGTGTTTTTATAATTTGGATCTAGTTCGAATTGGCCTCTCACCCCGACCAAATTGCAGACTTATAGAGCCAGGCTGCATGCATCATTCATTCCTCTCTCTCTGGAAGGAGTTGTACTTCAAGTTCCACATTCCATAGTCCAACTTGTGATTAAGATTTAAGAACACCCAACCAATCAAAAAATTCAAAAAAAAAAAAGAAAAACAGTCAAAATTAAGAATCAATTTACTCCAGACCAGAGCTTATCATTACACAACAGAAAGTTCTGAGAATCATTTGACAGACTAATTTAATCCCTGCGTACTCAAAAATCCTAAAATTCACTTTCTGGGAACTCTGATATTAATTTGACCAGTGCCTGTTCTTGAGCCACACCAGGACTAACTGGTCATAACATAAATTGTCAAGGGTTCAACCCCAAACCATAATTTAAATATAAAAGTTTTTCAATAAATACTATGAGCAGAACTTAGAAGAATCCTAAGGGGTGGTCCAGTATTTGAGCCTAACCTCTCGTATTCCAGAGGTTTTAGATTCAATCATTTTTTACACTTTTAAGGTTTAGTTACTCTTATCCTTGTAGAGGTAACGGTAGCCAATTATTGAACTTACAGAAATTGTCGGCGTAAGTTTAGATACTCTGTAAAAAAAAAGAAAAAAAACTTAGAAGAAGTAATTTTCCTTGTTAGTTATCTGCGGTCAGATCTTCAAACTTAGGAAAATTCCTGATGGTCCAAAAGTGAGTTTTCAATGGCGCTTGGTCTTCTCGTAGACTCAAAGGGAAAAAAGGGAAAAATACTGGGGAGACTATGACCAAGTCGTGTATAGATTTTCCTTAGCTGTTTCTCTCCACCGTGTTAAAGATGTACAAATACTTTGAATAATTTTTCCACATTCTTACTCAAAATGCACATTCATAGAAACCACACTCATAACCTTTTTACCCATTTAATATCATCTTATATATAAATATATATATATATCATATGTTGTTAAACCTAAGACAAGGAAAAAAAAAAGTGAAGAAAACCCAGAAAAAAAGAACACAAGAACCATGGAGGAGGGGGCCATTTCTTTAGTCTTCCATGGCTTTAAGTTGGCTAGAGAGCTTGAAGAAAACCTACCAAACATAACTAACCAACCTGCCATTCTTTCGGCGGCTTGTGATGAGATCATTAAAGTTTTCACTAACGCGAGGGATCGATTTAATGCTCAATCCACGCAGCAAGAGATTGCAGTTGGAATGCAAGAATGGTTAAAGCAGGGTTGCACACAGGCCATGGATTTGCTTCAGTCTCAACTAATGGGTGGAAGTGGAAAGACTGATCAGTTTGGTGGTGGTGGCATGGAAATGGTAGGAGGAAGAGACAGGGAAACTTCTGCGTGGTTAGGAGGTGGTGGAGGGGCGGTTCAGCTGATGGATGTGGCTGATTCCGGCAGAGGTGGTAGTTCCTCCTCCCAAAGACCACGAAGAAGGTAAGAAACTTCAATAATACTGGACATTAGTATTCCTAAAACATAGGTAAAATAATGGGTGATTCAAAATTTTTTATGCAGTTTGGGAATGATATGATATATTGGTTTACACGACTTCAAGCAGATAAAACAGCTCGTTTAGGTGATTTTGGATTAGCTCCCGGGGTTTCGGATTGTTTTACTAACTTTTAGGTACCAAAAAAAATTGTTCTAACATTGATCAATTTCCTGGAAAAAAATTTTTCTATAATGTGGGGAAAATCACAAGCATTCACTAATGCAGCAACAAAAGATAGTTTTAAAAAGAAGTTCTACGATAAAAATTTTGAGGAAAAAAGAACTATCTTGAATAAAAATTCAGATCCCCTGTTACGTTTATTTATAAAGTTCATGTATGTATATGTCATTTGTTGTACCACCACAATTGTAATTGTGTATATATACCCTTAAATTTTTCAAATAATTCAGGACACGTAGGAAGTAACTATTTGTTTGTTTTGCAGAAAGGACGAGGCAAACAGACGAATAGAAAGATTGCCAGCTCCTAGGATGGGAAATACTGAGATTCCACCGGAGGATGGCTATACTTGGAGAAAATATGGACAGAAGGAGATCCTAGGATCAAGATTCCCAAGGTAGTCTTTTTTGCAATGAACTTAGGATCGTTATCTCGTAGAAAAGAAAATTATTATTTAAACTGAATTTATTGATATTATTTTATATTTCAATAACATTATTCTTTATTTTAGCACCCTCCATTAATTGGGAACTAAACAGAGTAAATAATTATTTTTTCAAATGCTAAAAAAAAAAAAAAATTCATTATGAGAAGTGACTCATTAGGAGAGAAATGCAATATCTACAGTATCATCAATGCTAATGACCAAGTCTATTAACTCGACAAAGTCAAAGCAACATATATTCCTCCAACAAATCACAGACCTTTGAAGTTTGAATTGAAAATTAGAAATGTTTTTTCTTGCTATGGCAGCGATAAAGAAGTCCATTTCCTTAAACTTTTCAGCCACTAGACCCAAATCAAATAGGCAAGTCCAACCTAATTTGACTTGGTAACTAGTATGCAAAAACATGTTGAACAAATTATTACCCATTGAAGAGAAAACCATCCTTTCTAGACAAATTTTTTTATTTTTCAACTGCCAGGTGTGTCTGGAACGGGTAAATATTGACTATAACTGTTATATTATGTCAATAATTTAATAAAAAAAAATAAAATGGATAAAATATAACTTAGTTACTATCATAGAGGTAGTTATGTATTATATTCCTAGGTAGTTATGAGTTTTAGTAGGCCCATTTGTTGACTTGTTTACCTATTACTTGACAGTTACACCGTGTAACACTGTTGACGTGACGTAACAATTATACTCAATATTTTTTCGTCCGGACAAGATTATATGCACTTTGATTAATTACCTCTCTAGTACAATCAAAGACAGATTATTCACACCGAGGCTAACATATTCATAAAAGAAAAATCTCGCATGACTTAGTCTCAAAGGATTATCATGATTCAAATTCAGTATACTTAAGTTTGTAACTCATCTTTATTACCACTTTAGGATTACACAATGTTTGTAACAATTTACTATGACAGCTGACTTGAATTTCTTTATTTAGTGTCATGTCATTTGCGCTCTAAATTTGATCTCAAAATTTAGTCAACATGGTTCTATATTTCTAGTACCAAAAACTTACTTCATAGAACCGATTCAAAAGGTTTGAAAGGGTCTCAATTTTTTCAAGTTGATTTCATTGGGTCGTAATTTTTTATCTGAATTAAATTCTAAACTGATTCTTATGACTAATTAATTGTTTGTGGGACATCTTTCTAAGGAGTTACTATAGATGCACCCATCAAAAACTATACCAGTGCCCGGCGAAAAAGCAAGTCCAAAGACTCGACGACGACCCCTACACGTTCGAAGTGATGTACCGAGGCGATCACACGTGTATCATGTCCTCCACAGCACCGTCAGCGCCTCCAACTTCCGTAGGCGGCGCCACCACCACCCACGAGGTGAGACACAGTCACCACTATGCACACATGCAGATGCAGCCTCCTCCACCACCACCAACACCATCTGCTTCAGTCCCTCTTAGCAGATGGTTGTCCATGGACATGCAAATGTACAGACACTTTGGTCTTAGTGGTCCCGGAGGCGCCAGCAGCAGCAGCGGCGGCAGCGGCATGGTGGCCAGTGGGGGTGCAGGTCCGTCCACCGGCCGATACCGTAGGGAAGTTGACTATCCTGTGGTTGATTTGGCAGACGCCATGTTTAATTCGGGTAGTAGCAGCAATAACAGCATGGAGGTTATATTTTCTTCAATGGAGGAGAAAAAGGAAGGAGGAGGAGAAGACCCGAAGAACTAGCTAATCCCTTAACTTATCTGGTGGCATTTACTCTTAATCTCTGTTTAGATGTTAAACCTCAGAAGAAATGGCTCATTACTTTGAGCCATTTAATTGATTATCACCCTTTTAATAGGCTAATCCCAACTTTTTCCTTTTTTTTTTTTTAATTTGTTCATATAAAGTATGTGGTTAACTGGAGCATATAACAGAGAGGAGAGAGAGAGAGCATTGCTATTTTTTAAGTCTACTTATTGCTCTTTGAATAATGTATATTTGTTTTGAGAAAATATTATTACCGTTCATATGAATTTCATTTTGTAAGCTGTCAATGCAATTTTTTTTTTTTGTTACCGGTGAATAGTGTTCGAGTCAGCTTACGCATAACTCAACTAATCCTCTCTCTAATTTAGTCAAAAGTAAATCATTCACTCTGATACTGAGTTATTCAATCAAAGTTATGGACTTCAAAATTAAATTTAAAATATGTATTTAATAATTACAACCGTTGATTTTACTGTGGATCACAACATTTATTAGATAAAACCTACTATCTATTCAATTGTTATGATTATCAAGTACATATTTTAAGTTCATATAACATTTCCCATTCATGAGGGATAAATTGTCGATACATTATTAAGTCAGGATATTATGTTAGGTTATTAGATTTCGGCAATATTACTCAAATTATATTCTAATTTTGAAAACTTAAAATCACCAACTTTTTGTACAGTGCAAATCTAGTTTGGAATTGTGTCATGTGAGACGGGTTTGTATTAAAAATTATTTCACTTATATCCGATTCGTTTATTAATTTGTGTCATATAAGATTTGTGTCGTATATGAATTATATATAACCGGTATATAAACGAGTCGTGATATGTATTTTTTTAATTTGTTTCACATATACTCGATTCTTTTATTAATTGGGTTGGACCCCGTTTACAAAACAGATAACTTAAGAAAAATCAAAATTCTCTAATTTTAAATCGTGTTAATAGATCGTATTATATTTTAATATTCTTACATATGGATGTGGGATTCCAAAATCTAACACCAGCAGCCTAGCTCAATTACTCTACATTTTAGTGCATCGTATTTGAATTTTAATTCAATTAAATCATCATCGTAAATATACTGTACCAAACATCATACTATACTTAAATCGAATCTCAATTCCATCAAATATTTATAAATTAAAATCCACAACAATGAAACAAAATATAAAGCTTATTTGAAGTCAAATTATTGGTGCAAAAATACTAACTCATATTCGACAAATTATATTTGAATTCTGGCCAAATTCAAATAACAAATCCAACCCATTCACAAATTCACTTTCAAGTCTTAATAGAAATCTCTTTTCATTTCGAAAGCAAAAATCAATCAATCAATCTAACATATTTATTGACAGGACGTGAATGATCTGCCAGTACGTCATAAGTTGACACATGGTTGGTTGTATAGTTACCATGAGCGTCCCTTGAACATCCGAGGATCGAGACCAAGCAATGGACGTCTTAGACCGAGCGGGCATGATCCACAAGGAGACGGACATGTGCATGACCCATTCTAAGAAATAATTATCCTTGCAGGACATGTGTATCTCGTGCAAAGTGTTGATATGAGAGACAATCATTATCGTTTGTTAGTAAGAAATACTATCATTAGAGCCGCCAGAAAGACAAGGCACGACTCTTGTGAGAGTCGTTTGTTAGTAAGAAATACTATCATTAGAGCCGCCAGAAAGACGAGGCACGACTCTTGTGAGAGTTAAATAGTCCTCCAGGGTATCTAATTCAATGCTCAGGCAAAGGCTCTGGGTACTTCGTCGTAGATCCCTTGATATTTGGGATGACTCGGTGTCTACGAGACGTGAGGCCATGAATGCTCGGCCTATTCTGAACATTCGATCCTAATTGTCCCATTGTTGGGAATTAATGAGACATGCCGAAAGAACACTTATTTCGTTGCTCAATGACGGCAGGCAGGCAGTCAGGCCTGGCTTGTTTACTCAAGTGGCTATCATGTCAACATATTCGAATGTATAAATATTCCAATACAACAAAATTTAAGTATATATACATGTTGAACTAGCATTGCACTATACATTAATCATCTTAACTTTAAACACCGATTGATTTCAACTTAAGAAGATATAAATCGAGTATAATTTCAACCTCTTTCGAACATCGTTCTGCATTTCAGAAATCTTATTCAAATTGATATAATCCCATTATTTTATATTAATCTTTTTATTATGCATAATAACTTTTGTGAAACCCACTAGCAATCTCCACCATTTCCCTTCTATTTCAACCACCCTCCAATAGGAATTATATATATTGATGTCAACAGATTAATTTTTGTTTTCTATCTGAACCCATTATCTATTCAAAGCATCAAAAATGGTTGACGTTTTTCTTTTGGCGCCGTGTTAAATGTTGAAATTTCTCGTAGTGGTGATATGTTGTTGGAATCCATTCATACCAAGGACTTAATTAAGAAATATTATTTATATATAGATGTGAAAGGATTTGTTGAGAAAGTAAGAAATCTCTTTGACATCTCTTTATTTATAAATAAATCTTGATGTGAAAACACAAAGATAAAAGGATGATCTTTCAATTAGAAAAAGAGTTGATCTATAGGGTCCCAAATGAATTAATTTATTTAAAAAATATCTTGTTTTTTGAAAGATCTATCTCCTATATAGTATTGCATGGTTCCACCCTACAAACAACACAAAAAAAAAATTATATAATAAAACAAAACATTTTTAATCATACCATTAAACATTTTAAACACAAAAAAAGTTGGTAATATGATATATCACTGATGATGCAGTCACTTTATGTTACATGAAATACTTTCTCAAAAGAAGGAAAGAGAGAAGGCAGGCGAGGGGAGGGGGGGGGGGGGGGTGATAAGGTGGTGGCCCTGGTGAGTGGATAGCCACTACCGTCGTTTTTCCACCTTTTCTCTTTAAAAAGGTTTGTCTTAATATGAAGGTTTTGCAACACTAGATGTCACTTATAAGGGGAATGTAGGAGTGGTTGGTTGTGGAACCAGAAATAATAGTTTTGATTAATAGTACCAAGTGGACTTAATTGTAGAATTAATTATTTTGTATGTGCTTTCAATTGTTTTTGAATTAACTGAATTTATAAACAAATTCAACAAATTAGCAATTAGGAAACAACAATACTTAATCCCACCTACTAATTTATTGATCGAATGATCGGTGTGACTCAAATTCGTGCATACTAACTTTAAATTTTATTTAATGTCCTATTTTATGGAGGTTTCGGATCTTTTATCGATTTGAAAGTGAATTGTACCAATGTTTTTTTTTTTTAAGGGGAATACTATGATATTACATTGTTACTTTTGGTTCAAAGTCATGATTTTACGAAGATAGGGAATGTTATGCCAATCGCTAATCTCTTCTATTATTGTAACCTAGGGACCCTTTTTTGTTAAGGATATAATGTTTGTAATCCCAAGGCATGCATGCATGCATCTCTACTTGAAGCAACTGTCGGACTAATGATTGTACCAGGACATTGAATCGGAAAGATGAGAGTCACAGAACATTGTACCGGGACATTTAATGAGGATAAGCCCATAGGTACGGAAAGTAATACTGTACTTTCTCCGACTAAAGAAAACTTTAATACTACTGTCGGCCATATTAATTTCAAAAATTATAAATTTTTAAAATTTAATTATAATATTTTAAAATATAAATTAAAATTTTAAAAGATATAACCGACAATAAAATATTAAAATTCAAAGCGATGATATGTTGAAATTTCTTTTGCAGACCATCTCAAGTGTTGAAATTTCTCGGAGTGGTGATATGTTGCTGGAATCCATTTTCGACCCAAATAAGCATTTTTTTTTTGGACAGAACATACACAAAAGAAACACACACAACAATCCATATGACAAAACTCAACACACACATTGAGAGACCCACAAATCAATTTTTTTTGGACCCAAATAAGCATAGTTACCAAAATTAGACTGGACATCAAATCAAAAAGATTGAATTACAATGGTTTACTAGGTTGATCATTGGGTCAATAATCGGATTGATCATATAAATAAATAAAAATTATAAAATATAATAATTTAACTAAAATTCTACTATTACTATAAAATTCACAATGACCCTGTGTGTTTATGTTGTCTCTGTGCGTGTGTGTGTGTGTATATATAAAGATTTTTAATCATATTATTGATTAAGACCTAAAATTTCTCTCCAACTTATTGCCCCAGTTAGAGGGTCAAATGGGCAATGGACAAAGGATTGAGGGTTAATTAAGGCTCAACAGAAGGCTCCAGTACGCGCGTGTGTGTATACATATAAAGAAAGAGAGAGAAAAGGGGAGAAGTTCTGACATTTGTGTGATTAATGATATCTTTAACTCTGACTCAAATTTAAATTTAAGTTTAAATAGTTTAAAATTCTTCTCCAACTTTGAATTTAAATTTATATCAAATTAACAAAAAATAAAAAAAAAGACTCAAAAGTGTGAAAGATTCGAACTCTATACTTCTTTTTCATGTGGGTCCTTTGAAGACGGAAGACGGAAGACGGAATCCATTGAAGACAAAAACGTATAAGTATTCTTTGTTCCATTTTCATACCCCATCTTCCGCCGCTTCTTGATGTATTAGCATCTTTCATTGTTTTCATGTGGGACTTTTTTTCTTTTATTTTGTTTCAAGGTATGGTTTAATATTCATAGATTAATATCCATAGACTTGACTACTTATTTTATGATTTACAAAATTTTTTTAACTACAATAAATCTATTTATTTACATTTGATCTTTTAACCATTCTAAACTTTTTAAACACGGAAAATATTTCAATACACATATGGTATACTATTATTAGTTAGTTAGTAATACGATATGTCACTGATGATACAATACCACTGTTACATAGAATACTTTCTCAAATGAAACATTTCAGTCATATTCTTTTTAGTTTATTATATCTTCAAAAATATATTTTCTATTATCCAAAACATCATTGACACATTCTCCTAGTTTATATTTAAACGTCACTGATACATTCTGTAGTTAAACCATCATTTCTAACAAGAAAAAA